TTGCCTGTTGCTTATTTACATCATGCCCCATCCCAGAATTGGTGCTTGGGCACTTCTTATCTTACTTCATAGTGGAAAGATAAATACCTTCCAGGATTATCCATATTCTAACTGGAAATTGAAAAACAGCTATTGCAGCTGAAGTTGGGGTTCCAGTACAAGAGTATCTTGAAATATATTTTCTTCAAACTGTTAATTGCTTATTTGTTTTCCCTTCCCTTCCCTTCCCTTCCCTTCCCTTCCCTTCCCTTCCCTTCCCTTCCCTTCAATCTGGATTCAATTTTGACATTAAAGTAGCATGCAGTCTCTAATTTAGATTACTCTGACAGCTGACTCTAATTTTTATCTGTTTACACAGGAGCAAATGAGAAATACACTAATTTGGTTGAGGTCTTGCACCAGCAAAGGGCCCCGAAAATCCAGTTGCTTTGTGTGTCAACCATTTTACTTATGACATGAAGTACTGCTCACAGGATTTAAAGCCGAATGCAGTTTTTCAATAACTTGCTAGCACCTTTTGATGCCACTTCCCTGCTCCTTTTACTTTCCATTTGCTATCCACAAGTGGAACATTTATAAATGATATCATTTTATGTACACCTATTCTATCCTCTCCCTCACGTGTTCAGGTAGAGATGTTTGATAGTCATAGAATCAGAATAGTTGAGTTGGAAGAGGCCATGAAGGCCACCAGATCCAACCCCCTGCTGTTGCAGGACGCCACGTTATACCTCCCCACCATCCCATCAAGTGACTGTTACACTTAACTGGTTTGTACATTACAGATGCCAAACGGGACACTGGGTGAAACTGATTGTGGGTTGCATTTATTCTATATAGCAACCACTTACCACTATACAAGAGAAATTACAAGAAACAAACGTAGACTCAACTTGCGCCCAGGCAGCTGGATTATTCTCCTTTCGGTATGGATAGACACAGCTGTTTTGGCATGCCATGTGTGGCAACTATTGCAAGTTGGGAACAGCCTCCCTAGTGAGCAATTCTCACCCATTGCAGCTATCATGGGGAGGAGCCATGCATGGCACCCTTTCAAGTGGTCTTACATGATCAAAGAGATGGCCCTGCATCACCCAGTGATACAGAGGACGTGGAATTCTCCCAACCTCTTAGCACAGAGGTGACACTCAAAGAGGCATTCATTTATTTCATGTTCTAGCAAAACCATTTCTACCCACAGAGTAGTCAGCAAGCAGCACTGGAGAGCACAAGTTTCCCAGAGTCAAAGGCAGCACAAACCCAGTTGTAAGCAATGGACAGCATCTGGAAAGAAGAATGAATCAAGAACACCTAGGCTTGCAATGCACTGAGCAAGAAGTACATTGTTTGTAGTAAATTAGGTCAACCTTCACCTGCATAAACATATCATATAAACTTATGCTGACATGAAACAGATATAGATTCATTTTTAAAGAAAGCTTATACCAAAGGAAGGATTCTAATTAGAACATTTTGCAAGTTTTCCTATGTTGTGTCTGCACCTAAGAAAATATAGTGTTCTACTTGCATCCACCCAGGGCTAGTTGTGGGACTGACCAATAGAGGAGAAAGTTTCTATCAAATTATACCAAACTTTTTCCCCTGGCTTTTATGATGATGGCCTTTTATAATCATGTTTCGTTGTGCTGTTAAACTTTCCCTGATACCTGCCTGGAGTATGCTAAGCATGCAGGGATGAGGGTAGCAGACATGACCCTTTCCTACTCCTCTGATAAGAGGAAAGGATTGTTAACTTAGACAGGGAGTACATGCACTTTACTCAGAAGGTCCTTCCAGGTATGGCATCTGCCGGTAGGGGTTGAGAAGACCCTTGCCCCCAAACCCCAGAGAATGAATATTTAGCAGGCGAGGTACCAAACTGTCCTCAATATGACTAATTTTAAGCATTTTTTTAAAAATAGGATCCTGTTTCAGCCAACTTCACCTGAATCAAGAAATCCATACATAAATATTTTAATAATGCAATGATAGAGTTCTCTATTCAGTTCTCTGTTATTTTGGGGCATTGTGATTTATTAAAAGATTGCAAATATAGCCACCTAGGAAGGCCTTAGCAGCTATAGGAGGTCTATAAATATGCATATGTATGTATGCATGAATGCATGTAGAAATAAGTAAATAAGCAGGAATGTGTCCATCTATGAAATCTAGAAAGCCATATGTGACTATCTATCACCATCTAGTGGTCAGGCATGCAAATAGAATGTGAAACTGGAGAAAGCCTGTACAGGTGACCACAAAAGCTCGGATGGGTTGGTAAGGGGACATGATGTTCTTTGGGGCATCTAGCTGCTAAGCCACTTAGCCATTTTAAAAGTAAGCACTAGGAGTTTGAACTGGACTCTGGGACAGGCTGGGAACCAGAGAAGTTCTCTGAATACTAGCAATATACTTTCCTACTCACTGGTCCTAGTCAGCAACCTGGAATCAGTATCTTCAGCTGCAGTTTCAGGACTGTCTGCAAAGGCAGCCCTGCATACAGACTAGCAGCCAATCCTAGATGTGGGCAAACCATGGAAAAGTGTGGCCAGGCTATCTCTGCCAGGATGGGCCACATCTAAATTAATGAAGGCACCTTTGTTCCACAGGACACTGGACTTATTTCTGGACAATAACCTAGGGGGAAATACAGCCCCATCCACCACAGGATGGTAGATAATTGGCTGATTGGATCTGCATTATTTATTTCCTTGATTATTTTTTAGCAAAAATATTCTATGGAAACTAGAAGGAACATCTTTGGAACCTACGAACATTGGAAGAATCATGATGAATGGTTTATCAGGTCATGCAGGGGGGAACCAAGTGCCAATGAGTGCAATACATCCAGCCAGCGAGTCCAGCAGCTAGTTCCCCAGTTGCAACATGTTCTATAGCAATGGTCTCTGACATGGGAGGTAATCTCCCGTGAAGACCATGAGTCATTGATGGCTTTCCTTGTTTGCTTAGACAAAGTGATCTAATCCCCCTTTGAAACCATTTAGATTGGTGGTTAGCACTGCAGCTTGTGATAATGGTGGTTAGCAACTACAACTTGTGATAAGGCCAGCATTAAATGTTATCAGTTGTGGAGCAACACTGCATTCTATTCCTTTCCCTCTCCCAGCAACAGCAAAGTTCTGATATTCCTCTGAAGTTGGACAGCCTTTGCTGGCTCAACTTTCAGCCCTTATCATTCTTTTCTGGTGAACTCTTGAGTGTGCTATCACTGCTAGAACAAATATACATTCTTTGGCTCAAGATAAAAGATTTCTCAGGAAATTTCTCCGCCAGTTGCTTACATACCCTTCCTACCCAGTTGCACATTTCTAAACTTTTGTACTGTTTAATTTTTAAACAATTTCTTTGCCCTTTGGGGGTGTGAGGTGGATGCGTCAGTATTAGTCAACAAAATGAGGAATGTCTTGGTTATGTTCCATTTCTTCTTCTCCTATGACCCAGGCTCAGATGGCCTTGGAGTCAAATGTTCCTAGATCATTTGCCCATGGAGTAAATCACTTTAACTCATGGTTTTCCACCCTACCTTTTATGCCATTTAAGGCATGGGACTCATCCTGCTTCATGAGAGGGCCAGCCCTGAGAGGTGCTGTTAGTGGGTAGTTTGTCTGTCCAGTTGGGTGATATTCAGTTGGATGGAACTGCACTCCCTCTAAAGGTTTGTAATTTGGGGGTGCTGCTGGACCCAGAGGTATCACTTGAGGCATGAGTAGGCACTGTGGCATGGGGCACCTCTTATCTGCTTAAACTGATATACTAACAATGACCCCAACTGGACAGAGAGGGCTTAGCTGTAGTTCCCCATGCTCTGGTAACCTCTCATTTGCATGCACTGCACATGGGGCTGCCTTTGAAAATGGCCCAGAAACTTCAACTGATCCAAAAGAGGGAAGCAAGACCGTTAATGGTGAGAACACATGATGACAGTACTTCTCCAGGTATAGCGGCTGCTGGTTAAGTGTGGGTCTGTTTCAAAGCCCTAAACATCTCAGGGCCAGATTATCTGAAGGATCACTTCCTCCTGCATGCATCTACCTGGAAGCTGAGGTCATCTTTTGGGGTCCTTTTCTAGGAACCTCTTCCAAAGGAAGTGAGGCAGGCGGCTACCAGAAGAAGGGCGCCCCGGTTTTGAAATGAGCTTCTCAAAGAGGTGTATCTGGCACCTGTTTTGTATTCATTCTGGAGCCAGGTGAAGACTTTTTATTTTCCTAACATTTTAACAATCTAGCTTTTTAACTTTTATATATCCCATTTTATTTCTGTTCTGGTGCTGTGCTTCTGTGCTAAATACTACCAATGGCAATTATGGCTCCCCCCCTTTTAATTTCAATTAATTTGTGTGCATGGGTGTCCTTTTAAAGTTTATTTATTTTTAACTTTTGTTAACCACCCAGAAAGCCTCAGCTATTGGGTGATATATAAATTTTTGAATGAATGAATCAAATAAACAAATTAAACCTGAATCAAACAATCAAATTGTCCATCTGGAGTACCTTTTAAATAGCTCTGGCTACATTTGTCAATATCTGGCTTGAAGTGGTTGTAGTGGTACAGGTGAAAATCCAAAATCAACCTGCTGTGCTAGCACAAGGGGTTTCCACCTGATCTGAGGTGATTCTCCTCTCCCACCACAACCTCAATTCCCACACCCCACACTGTTCCACAGGGCAGCCTGACCCTTCTTGGTGCGTAGGACACATTTGAAAAAACCTGTGGTCTGAGCTGCTTTCTAACTGCCCAAGCATGAATCGGATTCATTGTGACATAATGCACCTCTGCAACTGCAGTGCATGTAATGGCAGTCAGAAAGGCAAAATCTGGGGCCATAATAATTGCCTGAGTCAAGGCTGAAAACATGGACTACTGGATGCTATGAAAATGGTGCTAAACACGGTAGCCAGCATCCTTGGAATGTAGTGCATTTTGAAAAAGCAGTTTTCTAGCTCTTAATAAAGAAATACATCAGAAAAATATCTACCTACCTACCTACCTATCTTCTATCCATCCATCCATCCTGCCCAAAGCTGAAGCTTTCTGGGTGGTTTACAATACTGAAAAATCTGTCTCCTTTTCCTTCTTCATCTCTTCTTGCCGTCTTCACACCCAGCATGTTCTGTTCAAGCGGATGGAACTCTGGATGGAACTCTGCCTGTTTCAAGTGTGTTTTGGACTTCATTCTGCTTATCTTCCCCATATTCTTGGCAACTGTCCACAGTTTTGGCCTAAGTGGCTTCCAAAAACCCAGCAAATTCTTGTTAAGATCACCCTGTTACCAGCTGAGTCATGTGGACCTTACAAATGGAACTGAGCTTTTGACCTTTAAGTTCCTGTTGCTGTGATACACAATGCAAATAGAGAAATAACTTTCTGAAACCCCAGTAGTGTTCTCATAGTCATATTTGTTACTGATAGGCAAGTGCAGTTTGCATTCACAACCCTGACTGGATAGGAGAATTTCTTGCCTATCCATCAAGACAATGTGTTGGATTCGGACTAATTTCCAACTGAAATCAAAGGAACAAGAATTGTTTGACTTGCTGCATTGATTTTCAGTGTTGAGTTCAACTAACTATAGCATTCTTGCTTAAACACACTTTTCCTGACATTGTTTCCTGTTGAACTCAGCAGGGCTTATGTTTGAATACACATATCCAGGATTGCAGGGCTATTCTAAATCTAGTCCTCTTGATCAATAGTAACAACAGCTGGTCTTTCACTCTGGATAAATGGTAGATTCATTCCACCAAGATTTATTATTATTATTTCATTTCTATACCACCCCATAACTGAAGCTGTCTTGCCACACCATAATAACAATTTTAAAATGAATTTAAAATTGCTTAAAAATACCATAAAATGACCCAACAAAGAAGAAGACTCATCTGGGTTACCAAGGAAATTTTTAAAGGCCTCTGCATAATTGTTGCAATGATACTGTGAGAGTCAGCTGTGACAAACAGCACATGATGTCTGATGCATTGGGGCTCTCTGTGTGCTTGTGCTTCTGAGCCATGATTCCCCCATCACTTGATTGCATGCCAGGCAGTGATTCACTGACTTGATTTCTGCACATTGGGCTGCAGAGGGGCCACAAATGAAACACTTGGTAACCTGGATGGGCAGAAGTGGCAAGAGTAAATCTGAAACATTTTTTCCCCAGCTTGGTATCAATTCCTGGGGGGGGGGGGGGGTTGGCTGGCACCTGCAAGCCAGCCATTCCTATAATTTTCTTTATCTTCCTAGGAAAAATTCCAACAGCATTACCGAGCCTTGCAGCAGCTGTTCTCTGGACTTTGCTCTTGATCTACCCAGAAGCGAATTGTTAAAGAATTACTGCTTAGGAATGCTTGAGCACAGAACCATAGAATCAGAAAGGAGGAAGAGTTCCTAAAGGTCATCTGATCCAAACCCTGCTCAATCATTTTGAAGTTCTATCCTCCCAAATAAATATTTGTGAGCTGCCACCTGAGGTACTCCCAAGAGCTTGGTCCTTTACAAGCACCTAATGGAAGCCATCACGGGCCAGGAGATATTCACAGAGCATCTGTCTCTATTGCTTACACAAGAGTATACCTTCATGCACACATGTGTATCAAGCTAACTCCCTAAATGATGCCACCAAGGACCCACTGCTCTTCTTGACTGAGTGCTAACTTTTTAGTGATGTAGGATCAATGTGGTGTGTTCTATGAATTGGACAGTAGAGGGCACTCTTACAGTGATCAATCTTATATAAGTTCCCTTTAAACACTTCTAAAAGTACATATGTAGCTGTCGGTATGAGGAATCCAGGAAAAGGAATGAGTTTGTTCAGTTTATATTTTAATGCAAAATTACCTAATTTCACACTTTCCAAGCTATATGCAAACTAAAAGGCAGTGGCCTTCTAATTTTGCATTTCTCTGAATTTTGCAATGGGATCTTCCTATCAAAAAATCAAACAAAATGCATATGTTAGAGAAAAGGACACAGAAACATACATTATCAGTGAAAATGATGTTCAGAATAGTTTAATTAAGAAAATTGATGTATAGAAAAAAATAGATGTATAACCACATTAAAAGAATAATGCATGCTTTAGGGGAGATGCACAAAAGAATGCAAACCAATTGTCATGCAATTTCCTTTTTCTACAAGTTTCAACGTTTGGTTCAGACCAAAATTAAGACTAGAAAAATGAGAAAAGAAGAAAAATAGAAAATGGCGGATGCATCCATCCCTAGATAGGAGCAACAAACATGAAGGAAATTATAATATGAATTTAATATGAAACAGTGAGGAAAACTACTGCAAACATGCTAGAAGCTTTGTTTTGTTCTGTTCTTTTTCCTGGCTATTGCCAAACATTTTTGTAATGTGCAGCAGGAAAAGATGAATTGACAATTTTGATTTTTTTCAGTTTCTCATTTTTTCAGTTTTTGGTTCAGAGTGTCCCAAAAATAAATAAATTAAAACAAGTTTGTATGAACATTTAGACATATTTTTCCCTGCATTTCTCATAATGAAGTCATTTTAGTATGTCTTTTTACCAATATATACAATTTATGAGCAATATTCCTAATAGGAGGTGTTTTAAAATATTATTTTCATGAATCTATGAATATGTGTGTGCATATTCCCTTAATATCTTCATTTGAATGCCTATTTCTTTCAACTGAAGAATTCCATTGCAGAAGTTGGAGAGGTGTGGATCTTGAAGGATAATGGATGTTTTGTTTGCATACTGATTTGAAAGTGTAAAATCCAGTAAGTTCACATTAAAATACAAACTGAACTAATCCCTCCCTGCATCTATCCATCTAGCAACATAGAAACAGAGCGAGTCAGAAGGGAACTCCCAGGTCATCTAGTCTGACCCCCGGCTCTAGCCAGCTCCACTCACGACATGCCCACCATGTGCATGTCTAGCCTATCCTTGAACCTCTAGGACCCCAGCAAGTGTTCTAATCCATGTGTTCAGCTTTTTTTTGGAGAATATATATTATCATCTATCCACATATCTTATCTCTGGCTGACACATCCCTGTTAATTTTTTCTGAAATCTGTATTCTGAGATGTCTTTGTAGTTAATTATCACTGAGTCTTGGAAAGTGTGGTGTCTTGGACAAGTTAATGGAACTTATGCTTCATTACAGAAATGCAACTTTGACAACAATGTTCTATTAGTTCTGTAAAAACATCCAGGGAAGCTCCGAACAGAAGGCTGAAGACCAAGTATGAAAAGATGGCATATTTGATTTCACTTTGATTTTTTTTTCCTTTTTAAAACATGGCACTATTCAGTCATACAACCAGATCACTAATTACTTTTATTATCAGTCTAGGGTTTAATCTCCCCTGGTCTTCCCTACTGATATTTCTAATGTTAGAGAGAAGGCTTTGGATTTGTTGAGAAGATTAGACCAGGAGGGTACTAATCCAGGAGCTAGGAGATGCCGGTCAGTCTCTTGGGACTTCTCAGTCCCTCTTTTTCCTGTTCTACCAAGTTATCTTACCTCTTTAATAGTCCCATGTTTTCACCAACTCTTTTTCCTGGCTGGAGTAATGCTCTGCCACTCATGGAATGGTTAACCTGCTGCAAGGGTATTAGCCACTCCCAGAGACTCTGTCCTGGTGGCAGGGGTGTGATTGAAACTATTCTATTTTCTATTCAGTTGCCACTTAAATGCTTGTGCAAGAGCAAGCTTTATGTTGCCTTTACAGTGTAGGTTGCCTTCCTATTCACACAATTTCCATCTTCCATTCCTTTTGGCTGCCAGTGATAGGCATGTCACCCTGCTTGTGGTAAAGTTTAGGGTTATGTTTAAAATATTTCTTGCATTAAGCATCAATTAGGCTGTTGATGTATATCAATATTTTAATTTGTTCCCCAAGGTGCCTTGGGATATGTAGGTGTTCTGATTTTGGAACTGGAACAGTCATTACTTTGGAAACATAGCCTGTGTGTTTACTCTAGAGTAGGCACAAGGGGTTGATCCAAAGTGTGACCAAAGCATGACTAAATCCTGGGACAAATCTGGAAGGGGGGGGGGGGCTTGCATTTGCCATTTTTAGTGCAATGATCCATAAAGCAAACAGATATTGTAGGTGAGGGTCACCTGATCTAGACTCAGCCCATGGTCAGAGGAGAAAAGAATTTTTTCTTACTGGCCTAGAATTTATAGTGACTAATAAAGCAAGTTAAACACTAGTTTGCAACAGAACTTGCAGGCACCTAGATCGGGCCCATACCGTACCTAAAGTTTTCCTACCCAACTTTCAAGGATCTTGAAGACAAAGACCATCACAGGAGGCAGGTCTGTAGCTCTGATCCATGCCAGGTGGCTCTGGGAATGAGCCATTAAATTTCCCATTATGCCCTGCAGCACTGCTATATCTGAAGGAATATGGGCAATTGAAATGGGACCCAGGTACATGCCAGGTATGCTCCCTTACCTAGGAAAAGCCCACTCATCAACACCTTGCTGAAACCCCCTCAAACTTGGGGCCAGCCCTGTTCCAAACTTGCCATTCCTATACTATGGCAAAGGTGCCAGGACTTATAAAAATCAGGCTAGATAAAAACAAATGAGCTTCTTATTAACATTAAATTATATTAAGAGACCTTTAAAATGATTTGATTTGCAATGATGAAATCTGAATAGAAGAAAAACAAAACCTATTGAGTTCTATATTCATAATTTCTTCAAACTGAATCCACAATGATCCCTCGGTCAAACACATCACACTGAAGTCTCCAAAAGCAAGCAAAAGAGCAAACCGCAGGCAAAAATACATGACCCTTGACTGCAAGCATTCTAAATCTGACACAGTAGGAGGCCATGAGTTTTATTTATTATTGTTGAAATTATGAACAATAACAAACAATTGTGTTAACAATAGTTACAGTAACTAGGCAACAGGGATATTTCTCTCCAAGTTATGTTGGTGCTGGGGAAGGGGAAACCCAGTTCTGCCCAGCAACGACTGGCTTTTTCTTCTGGAAAGTTTTGGGAGCCCTTGGGCATGACTACCCCAGCACTCTCCTTCCCTCAGAGGACTGACCGCCTTATTACCACTGTCACTATCTGCTATTAAGATATATTAAGAGCACTGTTGCTCTTCTTTTCCATCAGTGCGGCTGCCTGCTTGCTGGACAAGCAG